CTATCTTTTGAAACAAAGCTGATAAGCATCTAACTAAGTATTCAATAATAACAAAGTGATTGATATAATATATATTTTCCATTTCATTGATTTATTAATAATTGATTAATATTTAATTAATTAATTCATAGCTTTTATTGAATATAAGAATTAAAAGAATCAATATAAATTAATCCTTTAGTATTACTTATTTTGTATATACTTGTTTTAATATCGAAAAAAAAGAACGATGTTTATCTAAAATCAATAATATTTATTTTTGGAGAGTACTATTTATATTATTACAATCTTAGAAATTCTTGAATTTTTGGTATAAAATCTTATGATTAAATTAAAATTTAGAATTTCGAGATTTTTTCAATAATTAAAACAAAAAAAATTTATGGAATTTACCCAGATTGAGCTTCTAATCTTTGAAAGTAAATTATATATACTCTATATTTTAACTTATTATTATTATTAATTATCTCCATAAAAATCAAACTTAGCCATTCTTTTGTAGTAAATTAGTTAGACGAATAAAAAAAGTCATCAAAGAACTGACAATCATTTCTTTAAACATGTTTGTGTATTTAAGAAATATAGTATGATGAAAGTAGCTAAAATTATTGTTATAGAAAGAATAAATTACCAAAAATATTAATTATATAGATAAGCTATTGTTTGCTTGAGCTTAAGTAATTTAATAAAGAGGTTATTTATTAAAATTTTCTATAATAATTAGCAGTTATTCAACAATTATAGAATTTTAAGATTATTTAATATGGTCTTATAAAATTGAGATTAAGTAATCAATTAGATATAAATTAATATTTAACATCTAATAGTCCTTTTATTAGTATAGCTGCTAATGTTCCAGCAAAATAAAATCAATTATCAAAAATGATTTAGATTAGTTAAGTATATTTTATTTTTGATTTATAATGGTATTCTGATATAAAATATAATTCATTTTGAGCAATAATTCGTAGATATTAAATTATTATTTTTTTATTTATTATCAATTTTTCATTTAATAAATAAGTTTCGATTCTAGGTTTTTTATTGACTCATTTGATGATATTAACATTAAATTCAAATTTATACATTTTTATAATTCTCTTAATCATCATTTTGAAAATATTCCCTAAGTTTTTTCTCCTTCCAGTATCTAAACGTTAAAAGGAAGATATACTGTATAATAGAAAGCTAAATGTAATCATTTATTTCAGATTTTCGCTAACATAAACATAGATTAACTCAAAAGGAATTATGTATTTTGATATAGTTGTTAAAGGTTTTAATAAATGCTTTTAACAATAATGAATTTTCCTTAAGAGACTAATGAAATATGTATAAAAATGTGAATTCAGAAATTTTGCCTTATAAATTTAATAAGTCATAATCATTAACTTATTATTTTTTTATTATAATTTTTTTTACTTTCTTAATTTGAACTTAAAGGCACAATTATAAGTTATTTTCTATTGATGTCTATTTTTTTAACAGATGATAGAGACTCTATAACAGATTATATGAGGAGTTTTTGGAATTGAAGGAGTTGTATTCTATCAAACATTAAAAATATTTTACTTGCTTTTTTATAATGCATTTTTGTATTGATATCGTCTTGATTTATTCTGATTCTTTATCTCATATAATAATGTTTAATAAATTCTAAAAAATATCCAAAAAAAGAGTGAATCCTTTATGGAAAGTAGGAGATTCAAAATAGATGAACAACATATTTGCCAAATCCAAAAGTTAATGATATATAATTTGGGAAGGAAAAGATTATTTTTTGAAAGAGAAATTCCAGGATTAATAGTAAAACAGAGTCATATAACAAATTTTGAGATATAATGAAGTGTAAGAGTGGTCATGATCCACCTTTTGGCAAAGAATATTTCTCAATATTGACATAATATAAAGCTACTAAGTAAACCTGTCTAGACCAATTAAAAAAAATATTAACAATAATTGTAATTTTCTTATATTTATTTTATTGTCTCACTCAATAAATTAATTTGATGTTATGTCATTTTATGTTGAATTTGGGTATTGAAAAAAAACTTAAATATTATAAATATTTTTTGAAACTCTTATTATTTTAATCATAAATTGTTGGCTAGCTAGATTTCTGCAATAAAAACTCAAAAAAATTATTTATAGAATTAAAACAAAAAGAAAGTAGAAAAAAAAATTTGATTAAAATATTATTGTAATTATTTATAATATTATGTTAATCAATATTTGAAGTTGTTATTAAATTTAAATATGCTTGTATACAAATTATAAATAAATATTGTATTTACAATTTTTTTTTTAAATATTAAACTAAATTTTGGTAAATTAATCATCAATTTTTCAACTTAATTCTGATTATATATGTACTTTAAAATCTGACTAGTAAATAAAATAATTAACTTATTAGATTTATGTTGAATTAATTATTTTAGAACAAGCTCTAATATTGTTCTAAGCCTTAGACTATATTCAAATTTCGTTGGATATTGTTACTCCACTTAATCAAAGTATATTGCCTTTATAATGCTCCTAATATTTTTCTCTCCGCTTCTTATAATTAACAAGGAGTTTAAGCATTTGAAAAATTTCTATCAAAATAGATCCTAAAACATATAGACAACACTTCCTTATAATCAAAGTCCAATGCATAAATGCTAATTTATATACAAATTTTTTATAAAACCTCTTTTTTTAATGGTTGCTGTTTGTTGAATGTTAGATGAGGTTATTAAATTCTTTAGATTTATTAGGGGAATGAATAATCAATAAACCAAGTTGATTAAAAGTGCATACACTATTGGTCCTTAATAAATAGAAAAGAAAAATTTTATAATATTAATGATACATATTTTAAACAGCAAGTTTACAAAAAAATTTCAATTTATCAATAAAGTTATCTCAAAATATAACTGGAATGTAAAGTAAATTATTTAATCTTGAAGGTTATCGCAGTGCCTTTCTTAAGAAATTTTTATAGAATAAAAGTTGATAGCTCAAATACTCTAAGGATTATTCCCATTGTCTTAAAAAGTGAGCTTATAATAAAGTTTAAGTCTTTAAAATCACTTTGAAATTATTATTTTAATTTCAAATTCTTTAGAGTTATTTAAGAATTTATTTTAGGGAATTCTAAATTATTCAACATAAATCCATTTGTAATATAAATTTTGAATTTTTTTAATTGAAAAATTAGTTGTATATCTTTTGTTTATTATATGTGGATATATATATCTAATAGTAAAACAGATTAAGTCTTATACAATCAAACATTACCCTTTTTAGAGAAGAATTTTTTTTAGATGAAATAAAGCATTTAATATAATTTCAAAATATTGGACAAATCAATTATCTGAGCTCAATTTTCTAGTGTAAAAAAAATGATGTCCAAGCGAAGAAGGATAAATTTGAATAATTAGATGAAAATTGTTTTCAAAAAAAGTAAATGCATTAGGATCTAAAAATATATAGGATAAGATGAAACCTTTATGAGAATATTTCTGTAAATTAACAACTGCAACTGGAAGAAACGCGATATAAACATATAATAAAAAAGAAGTTTTTTTGGTTAGGAGAAAATTTTGGATGAAATCCTATGAATCTAAATTTTAGACTTTGTTTTAAACTGCCTAGTGGTGAAATGGTAGGATTATGAATTAAAATGGTTTTTTAGGTTATAAGCTAATTCATAGAAAATATGAATTGCAGCAATCCTTTTGAAATTATAATTTTTATGGTTTGAAAAAAGATAAATGTATGAATATAAAGTATCTATAGATGAGGAGAACAAACATATATTAATAAATTTCCACAAATCCTTTGGTTTTAAAGAAATTTATACTTAAAACCAATGTACAATGATAATTTGTTAGTTTTCCTTTCTTATCGTGAGCATTACTATTCACACACCTGTAATTTAAGAAAGATCTGGACTCGATTCAAAGAAAATCTTTCAGACCATTAATATTTAGTATAGAATAATTTTTTTTAATTTTGATTATTATCTGACAAGCATTAAAACTTACACATATGTTAAAAATAATTCAATAATATTAAAATCTTTCTTATGCTATGCTCACAAAAAGGACTTCATCATATAAAATAGCAATGCTTCAATTGATTTCTATAAATACAGTACTTATTTTTAATAATGGAAAAGCATAAATAAATCATGAAAAAGTCGATGATTTAGAGGAATCAATAAAGTAATCAAACAAAAATAATTATTAAAGTGTAAAAATATTGAATATAATTTTAATGTATATTTTTATTTTTTGTACTTTTCAAGCTTTTTTAAAGCTTTTAAAACTCATCTAAGTAAATATAAAGCTTTAACACATTCATCTTAATATATTTAATATATAATACCCATCTTAGATTTCGTATATTAATGATTTGAATTTAATTTTAAAGCTTTTTAATAAAAACCTACAGCTTCTTGAAATTAATACTGATCTTGTAAACAAGACCTATAAATTATAAAGAATCATCAACCTTTTGCCAATAATGAAGCAAAATGATTTGGATTGATTTTTAGCGATTAATCAATTTATTACATAGCTTATGGAAACATTCTTAAGGATCTTAATGAGTCACCTTTAAATAAACAAAACTCATACCTTTGACTTATAATGAACTACAATCTTTTGGATCTATTTATAATGCTTTATCTGCCCAAATTATTGCATCCTTATATTCATTAAGCAACCTTAAACTCTCAGCTGACAAATTGAATTAAAAATATCTTTTCAATATAATGAATTACAATGTTTTGGATCTACTTATAATGCTTTATCCGCCCAGATGATTGCTTCCTTGAATTAACCAAGCAACCTTAAACTTTCAGCTGAAAAATTAAAACAAAACCATACCTTTAGCCCATAATGATGATTTGTTTCTTTAATTAAAAGTTAATGATTAATCAAATAATTTAATCGCCTCTTCATATTTTTTATCCTCCGAATATAGTTTATAGCCTAATTTTATAGATTTATTACCTTTTGAATATAATTCTTGTGATTTATTAAGATCTAAATTGAATGCATAATAATAATTTAGTTCAGATATAATTATTTTATAATAAAACTAAATGGAAGTATAATTTTAAATCAGATAATGATTTTTCTATTGAATCTTAAAAATCCTTTAAAGATTGTTAGGTTTATAATAAAATTATTTTTTCAAATGAGTTAAATTGAATACTTTGTGTAAAGAAAGAATTCATTTATTTAGAATTTAAAGTAAGGAATTCTTGCTTTGATTTTTTATATTTAGATCTAATTCCTTCAATCAATAAATTAAATTATTGATGAGCAGCATCAATTATTTTTTTTAGATTTTTAATTAAATCCTCACATTACTTTTCAATTCTTTAAATATGTTCAAATAAAAAAGGTAACTCTTATTAATTTTAAGGATGAGAAATATGGGTTCCATTTTTAATACATTAAAAAAAATATAATCTATCTGCTTTACAAGATTCATTAAAGCATGCAAATTTTACATCATCAAAATGCTCTGGATTTGAACATTTGATCTTAGCATCATTGTTTTGATTCATAATTAATAATAATATAAAATCATATTCTAATTCTATTACAATATTATAAAAGATCTTTATTATCAATTATATTGTAATTTATTTATATTAGAATTCTGAAATATCCAAAAGTATTAATACATAATATCTATATAAATTCAATTATATATTGTAATTAATGCTACAAAAATTAATCTTAGATAGCAACAAAAAAAACGTAAATATAAGAATGATTTATTTTTAGATTAAAACATAAATCATGTAGATTATCTCTTTATATAAATATTCAGCCTTTTAAGATCTGCTAAAATGAAATCCAAAAAAATACTGTTTTTAATTTATCTGATTTAAAATTGATATTTGATTATCTTAAAAAAATGAGAGATTAATCTAAAAGAATTTCAGATTCGTTTAAATCCTTAATTTAAAAAGAGAATCCAACAAATAGTACATTATCTATGTTCTATTATATAACTAAATAATTTTATAGATTTTACCATTTTCACCTTTCAAGCCTAAAAAATGTTACAGAATATGGAGAAAGTCATAACACGTATTTTTACTGATTTAAACCATAGTTTCAATGCATGAAAAGCATAGAAGTTTCTGAATTTTCAGTTTCACTCATTCCTAACTTTACTCTGACTTATTCTAATAGATCCCTGTTTATTATGAATGATTTTAGAACAATAAAATTTCCTATAAAAACGATTTTATTATTACATTTTTTCTTTATTCCCTAAAATTATTAATCAATCTGCTATTTAAATTTTAAATTGTTGAGAAGAGTTTAGATTTATAAAACTTCATGTCTGAATTTCTTTAAATATAATAATAATAATAATAATAATAATAATAATAATAATAATAATAATAATAATAATAATAATAATAATATGAANCCAAACCCACCCCCAACCCCAAACCCAAACCCAACCCCAAACCCAACCCCAACCCCAAACCCAACCCCAAACCCAAACCCAAACCCAAACCTGGATAAGATTATGAGATCGTTGTTCTGTAACCTTCTTTTACAAAATTTTTATTTCAATGTAATAAACTTATTAAATCATCAATGATGCGTACTCATGAGCACTAATGAACTCACTAAAATTAAAGTGAAAAATAATATTCAATACAAAATGATCAATTAAAATATCCAAATTATTATTTATTATTTTATAGAATAAATTTCATTCATAATCCCGATTATTATAAATCTTAACATAAAATACAATATAATTACCTTAAAATTTTTTACATTAGTTCCATTTACACACATGTAGAATTTATGAAAGATCCTTAAAAGGAGGGAATCCCTAGCAATTGCTAAAACAGGAGATTCTGAAGGCCCTTCAAACATGTCAGGAAGGGGTTTGAGGTCTTCGGATATGGGAAATCGAATTGTGTTGACCTTTAATCGTGGGCCCATACTCCTTTTTTTCTCGGATAAGCCTAATCTTGGAAATAAGCTCCTCTAACTTATTTTTTTAAATATTTTTTATTTAGATGTAAATCTCTTAATTATATAATTCAAGTAATGATATAGAAACAATTAAATTGAAATATGAATCATAATCCCTTCATAAGGTGTATAATTAACTGATTTTATTTGCTTATCAAAATTAAAGTCTGAAATTAAAAGAGTGAATGTAAGGGATATTCACCTATAATTTATTATACAAACAATCAATATGATGATTAGCATTTTTTTGTAAATTTTGCTTTAGCATCTTTTCTTGGATATTCATATTATAATCAAATTCAAACTTTAGAGGTTATTCTTAATGGTTAAACCTCAAAAATACTGATATATATTAATCTAATTCCTTCAATAATTTCTAACTCTGATACATTTTCGTCATCTAAAGAAATATAGATAAAAAAGGAGTGATAAGGATTTAATTTAAAATTCTTGACTATGAATGTACTTATTTAGTTGATAAATAATAGTTTTAATGTAGATTTTTGAAAATTTATGTTAATTTTCATTGTTTGTTGATATTCATTCTGGTCTATGATAATATTAAATAACTGAATTTTTCATTTGTTCAATTGAAGGTATTTAAAATTAAAAAATCTATAACTAAGTTCTTCAAAGTTACAATCGTTAATTATAAGATTATTATTATAATTATTAGTAAAGAGTCTTATGCATTTTTACATTAAATTTTGAAAGTTTGACTTCTTAAAAAAAGATAGAAATTAAAAGAAAATGAAATAATTAAATACGTCCACTTATTGTTTTAGATTTAAATATAAATTAGGTTAATCAGTAAAATTATCACACTATGTTAATTTTTAATATGAAATTTTTCATTAACAAAGGAATTTTAAATTTCAATGATGAAAAATGTTAAATTATTATTAAAGTATTAAAATTGATTAGAGTTAAATTTTTTGTATAATAAAAAAAGGAATCAAGTTTAATTATTTTATAGAAGCAATTGTTTATACAAAATGGTAACAAAGGCAATTGATTTTAATTTTTCTTTATACAATGGTTAGAATTAAGCACGTATGATTAGAATATTTTGATTAATCATTTAAATTCACAATAATTTAAATTTAATAAGGAATTTTAATTTGAAATTTCTAAAATTATCTTTTATAAAATAGATTTTCCCTAATACTTTAAGAATAGAGATAAAGGTAGTTATTAAGAATTAATCATAAAAAAATGATTATTATCAAAAGCATTAATTATTTATTAGAAGGCTCTGATATTGATACTTTAGCAATATGTCAATGATTTTTCAAATTATACATAAAATAGCGATATTATTCAGGTGACATTAAGAATATATAATCCTAATATTCCATCTGTAAAGAACCCACTTTTACAATCAAAATAAATGTAAACAAGAACAAAAATTACATTTACAATTTTAAACAAGTAGACCAATTTTTAATATCTCCTAGAATTCAATTAAATTAATTGATTTTGATTGTATTATTTAAACTATGAACTAAATTGATAGATAAATATCTGAATAAATATGATTCTATTCGAAGATTTAATCCTTTTTGCTTCGCCACTAAAACTAATGAATTGTTTGGCTCAGTAAATCTCTAATATATTTAAATCAATAAAGAGGTGAATTAAAAGAAAACTCTTTCTTCTAGCTATTTTGATTAACCAAATCCAAATTTCACAAAATGTAGTAACTGTATAATTCAAAGTATATCAATTCAATGTAGATCAATTTTAAATTACAATCCTTTTTAATAACTTATTTAGAAATATTTTACCCATTCTGGTAAGCAGTACTACAAAACTAATAATGTATTAGAAAGAATTTTCACCAAAATTATCATTCCTATATAAAAATATATCCTAAATTTAGTCTTCACATTATTGTTTAATAAGCAAGCACATTTAAGTAATATATTGAAATGAATCCTATCATGAATAGTTTGAACTTCCAAAACTTTCTAAATTCAGATTTTGTTTCAATATATTTTTAACCAACTTAAGGAATATTCTTAAATATTTATTTTCGAATGCATAGACTACTAAAACTAAAGAATACCAAAAATTTAAATTTAATGTAACAAAAGAATCAAAATAGTGAATATCATATAAATTTTTTATCAAATTGCAAACCACACATTAAGATTTCTTTGCCAAGTAAATTAGATGAAAGTTTGAGAGAAGGTTAAATTTTTGATAATATAGAATCAAGAGTATTTAGAGATGTTTGCATTGAGATCTTATATTTTTAAGTGCTATTTTTAGCGAATATGCTTATCAAGGTGATTAACTTGATTGTTATTATCAAATTTAAGCAAAAGTTTCTGGTATTTACTTATTTATGTTAAATTATGTTAAATTGATTTTAAGAGATTTTTAGTAATTTATCACATTTTCATTAGAATGAGAATGTGATAAATTTACCTAGTAATGGTATTTAGTCTCTACTAAATAAATATCTTAATCTCAATAAATTTCCATAAAATCAAAATTATGGTTTAAACTAATGAATTAATTACTTTTTACCAAGTAGCTTGTCAAAAGTCATAGTTCATTGAATATACAAATATAAATTTGAGTATTCATAAATTAATTAGCATAACTCTAATATATTCTCATTTTTCTATAGACCAAAGCTTAGATGAATGCAATTTAAGAAGTTGGATAAATGTATTTATTTATGTCATTTTTAAATATATATACCTAAATATTTCTAAATTAATAATGATTATTATTCAAGTTATTAACAAATATAATTGATACCAAGTTTTTCATAGGCGTAAACCAATTCATTATGATTTAATTTAGATTCAGAATAAACCATATAAGTTCTATTTAAAATTAACCTTTTTCAATTTATTTCAATCCCTTATTTTAATTTAACTAATTATAAAAATTGTTAATAGGATAAATAATTAATATTCCAATATTTTGAAATAAGCTTAGAATAATTTCCTTCTTCTTCATCTAAATTTTTATAATAAAATTACTCAAATTGAAGGAAAAATAAGTAATGATTTTTTAAATAATTTATATATATTAATGAAAAGCCTTAAAAACATGTATAAAATCTTTTTCACAAATCCTAAATATATAGAAAATATGAATCTTTGGTATTGATATTTTCATAATATAATTTATAAATAAAGCTAAAAAATTAAATTACTATTGTATAATATTTTTGGCAAGCAATATATATAGGTTTATTTTTTTATTTAATTGATAAAATAACAAAAATGAATTAAATGAAAATTATTGCAAAAAATTAATCTAAACCAACTATTGTTATTTAAAAACGTAATTTAAAAGCTTATATTAGAACATTAATTTTGTTTACTTTTATTTATAAAAATCAATATAATAAATAAAAAGTTCGATAATTAATTAAATTTTATAGAATATTTAAAAACTATGCTACATATATATAAACTAGCGAATAAAAACACTAAAGTTTTTGTGTTTGATTTCTATTTGTTGTATTTTTTTTGTTTGGATGAAGAGTTTTCATGAACTATAATAATAATTTTCATATATTATATTCAATAATTTTAAAGATATTTAATTGAATTTTGAAATTTTATTGTAAACTGAGATTATAATTGAAAGATCCTTAGTTTGCATACTATCATTTATAATTTTAGTATTTAAATAATTTAGGAATAATTCATATTATGATTTATTAAGGTAAAGATCATAATTAAGATTTCAATTTTACTGCTAAAGTTATTGTTTACTAATTAAGTTTTCTGATAATTCAATCTGCATTCAAAGTCACAATCATAATCAACGCCAATTTCTAAATTTCTATCAGTGCAATATTCAGGAATTGATTCTAATAACTTAGAACTTATGAGATCCAATTTATTTATACAAATACAATCTTTTCATTATTATCAACAAGTCTTACATATATAATAACTTTGACTAAGAAAAAATTTATTGTTAATTTTTCAATTATTAACATTATATTCTAATAGACTATCGCATTCTACTTCTTATTTTTTGATTAATCCATCTCCACATATTGATAAATTTCTATAATTGTCAAAGGTAAGTCCATTATAAAATTTAGGCATTTACCATAATAACAGATTGTACATGTTTATTACATAACACAATCATAATAGTAAATTAATTTACAATCTGAATTACCATCATAGTTGCTAAGGNAGTCTCTACTAAATAAATATCTTAATCTCAATAAATTTCCATAAAATCAAAATTATGGTTTAAACTAATGAATTAATTACTTTTTACCAAGTAGCTTGTCAAAAGTCATAGTTCATTGAATATACAAATATAAATTTTGAGTATTCATAAATTAATTAGCATAACTCTAATATATTCTCATTTTTCTATAGACCAAAGCTTAGATGAATGCAATTTAAGAAGTTGGATAAATGTATTTATTTATGTCATTTTTAAATATATATACCTAAATATTTCTAAATTAATAATGATTATTATTCAAGTTATTAACAAATATAATTGATACCAAGTTTTTCATAGGCGTAAACCAATTCATTATGATTTAATTTAGATTCAGAATAAACCATATAAGTTCTATTTAAAATTAACCTTTTTCAATTTATTTCAATCCCTTATTTTAATTTAACTAATTATAAAAATTGTTAATAGGATAAATAATTAATATTCCAATATTTTGAAATAAGCTTAGAATAATTTCCTTCTTCTTCATCTAAATTTTTATAATAAAATTACTCAAATTGAAGGAAAAATAAGTAATGATTTTTTAAATAATTTATATATATTAATGAAAAGCCTTAAAAACATGTATAAAATCTTTTTCACAAATCCTAAATATATAGAAAATATGAATCTTTGGTATTGATATTTTCATAATATAATTTATAAATAAAGCTAAAAAATTAAATTACTATTGTATAATATTTTTGGCAAGCAATATATATAGGTTTATTTTTTTATTTAATTGATAAAATAACAAAAATGAATTAAATGAAAATTATTGCAAAAAATTAATCTAAACCAACTATTGTTATTTAAAAACGTAATTTAAAAGCTTATATTAGAACATTAATTTTGTTTACTTTTATTTATAAAAATCAATATAATAAATAAAAAGTTCGATAATTAATTAAATTTTATAGAATATTTAAAAACTATGCTACATATATATAAACTAGCGAATAAAAACACTAAAGTTTTTGTGTTTGATTTCTATTTGTTGTATTTTTTTTGTTTGGATGAAGAGTTTTCATGAACTATAATAATAATTTTCATATATTATATTCAATAATTTTAAAGATATTTAATTGAATTTTGAAATTTTATTGTAAACTGAGATTATAATTGAAAGATCCTTAGTTTGCATACTATCATTTATAATTTTAGTATTTAAATAATTTAGGAATAATTCATATTATGATTTATTAAGGTAAAGATCATAATTAAGATTTCAATTTTACTGCTAAAGTTATTGTTTACTAATTAAGTTTTCTGATAATTCAATCTGCATTCAAAGTCACAATCATAATCAACGCCAATTTCTAAATTTCTATCAGTGCAATATTCAGGAATTGATTCTAATAACTTAGAACTTATGAGATCCAATTTATTTATACAAATACAATCTTTTCATTATTATCAACAAGTCTTACATATATAATAACTTTGACTAAGAAAAAATTTATTGTTAATTTTTCAATTATTAACATTATATTCTAATAGACTATCGCATTCTACTTCTTATTTTTTGATTAATCCATCTCCACATATTGATAAATTTCTATAATTGTCAAAGGTAAGTCCATTATAAAATTTAGGCATTTACCATAATAACAGATTGTACATGTTTATTACATAACACAATCATAATAGTAAATTAATTTACAATCTGAATTACCATCATAGTTGCTAAGGTTATTTTTATCGATATCAATAATCTATATTTCATTTAAGTTATCAATATATAATTAATAATTTTTAATAATAATTCATTCTTGATCATAATTAATGATATTTCCTAATTTGTATTTCCTTAGATTTTTTATCCCAAGTCATCAAATACTCTCCATCTTCACTCATCTATCCATATATACTACAATCTCCAAATTGAATAGATTATTATGTTATAAAATCACCATTTTGGTTCTTCCTTATCAAATTAACATTTAATCCATTCTTATTCACAAGCAGACATTTCGACTTTATATATTAATAAGGGAACCAGTAACTACAATTATTAATTCCACATTTAACATCAATTTATTTTGTCTTTGAGTACTATTTATTAGTACTATTCATCTCATAAACATGCATTTACTCTTAAAGATGAGGTTGGAATGTGAATACATTATCATCGATAAAACATAATCTTAAACCCC